GTAGTTGCTTCCAATAATAGAGCCAGCATGACTAGAAGGCGTTGATAGGTTTAGTCTCAAGAAATGTGTTCTAGTCTTGTTTTAAAACCCTTCAAATAGATAACCACCAATATGTTTTTGTAGAAACCATCTCCTTTGGCTTTCTATTTGTCTTATAATACTTATAATAATACTTCCCATCATTTTATTTGGGGCATATTTTGATCAGCTAACTGGTCAGTTTTTATTGTTTCCTCTCCAAATCCTTTTTTTAAAAAAACAGCATTAACAACTTTCAAGTTTTCTGGTACAGAGGATGATAGAGGCTAGTCTAGTGAAGAGAAGGACCAAGGGAAACATGATAGCAGTGTTCCTGTCAGGATTCCAGCGATCACCCTAATTAAATCATGAGCCTGTGAATTGACAGTTCCATTATCTGAGGGGCTGCCACAGAGAGGAGGGAGGGAGGTCAAGCTATTTTCCAAAGCGCCTGAAGGCCAGACAAGAATAATGGATGGAAACTGATCAAGGAGAGATTCAACTTAGAAATAAGGAGAAATTTTCTGACAGTGAGAACAATCAACTAATGGAACAGCTTGCCTTCAGAAGTTGTGGGAGCTTTATCACTGGAGGCTTGCAAGAAGAGATTGGACTGCCATTTGTTAGAAATCGTGTAGGGTCTCTCGCTTGGGCGGTGGGTTGGACTAGATGACCTACAAGGTCCCTTCCAACTCTGTTAATCTGTAAATCTGTCTGTAAATATTAGGGGTGCTTTTGTTATATAAAGGTGCTGAATTGTTTTGGACTAAGGACCATTTTTGAGCGGCATGCCACGAGCTTTACTCCAAAAATTGGGTAGGAATTGGACAAAAATTAATTTTGATTTAATTTTGTCAAATTAATATGTTTAAATATAATTGATATTTCCTCATTTATTTCCTGTTATATTCCATGAGGTCTGCAGGGGACAAGGGAGTTAGAGTGACAGAAGCATCATCATGATGAAAGACACACACACACACACACACACACACACACACACACACACACTCTTTTCCACAGACATCCCATGAACTTAAGGGCAGGACTTGTGTCACAATGCTGCAATGTCCCAAAGGTGCTTATGGACTTTCTGGTTTTCTTTCATTGAGAAGTCGGAGCTGTGCTTTCTGCAGGATGTTTTCCTCCCTGTGTCGCTTCACTGTTGAGCTTAGGCGCAGGATGATGGGAATGAGTCTGGGATGTCTCCGTCTCAAACTGAAGCGCAAATGGTGCCTGTAGTCTTCAATTTTTCTGGAAATCCTGTGTGGGGAAAAGTCCCTCTGGGACAACCAGGACCCAGAATACTGAGAATCTCCATAGACACAATGCAGTGTTGCTTTGATCAACTTGGCTGAGGCAATGAGAGCCTGTGGATGGTGCTGGGTTGTATTAATTTTTTGCAACATTAGTGTGGGAGGTGCTTTCAACTCTTTTAGAAGACAAGTGATTTCACATCTGAGTTATTTTGAGATCTCCTGGGGAATTACATTGTGTAGACTCAATGATGTTTGGTATTCAGTTTTTTTTAGGAGGGCCTAGATTCATTCTTTGCCTTAATATCTTGATACCTCTAGTTTCTTACTAAGGAGAAGTAAAATTCAACATAAAAATCTGAGATTTGAAGTGACACTATTTTAAAAAGGCACTGTTAAAAAAACAAATGAAATACTTCAACCTCCCCAATGATTCTATTGTTAAGGTGATGTCCAGGAACACAAATACTTCGGGGAGGTATTCAAAAAACCAGAATCAAGTAACAATTCACCCAGAAGCCCAGTTCTATCTTCTGAAAATGAAAAGTTTCCTGCTTATTTAATTTCTATACCATTGCAATATGCATGGGCTCTTGAAATTTGACCTAAATAAAACAATATTGCATACAATCAACAGCACCTGAGCAATATAGACAATAAGATCATACCAAGCCATCATTTCCTGAATGTTCTTGGGAAATATTGTCTTTGCTAACTTCCAGCTATCCACCAGTGTAAGTGTTATTTTGGCCTTGAGGGGAAGAGAGGAGAATTCCAAAATGGGGATTGCAATAAAAATGGCCAGAGTTGGCCAGGGAAAATATATCTGGTGCAGGGGTGGGCAACTATGGCCCTTTTATGAATTATGGACTTCAACTCCCAGAATTCCTGAGCAAGCCATGCTAGCTCAGGAATTTTGGGAGTTGAAGTCCACAAGTCATAAAGGGGCCATAGTTGCCCACCTCTGATCTGGTGGGTGGAAGTGCTCCTGAGGTACTTTGAAACCAAGCAATGTAGGGCTTTATAAACTAAAACAATCTGTAATTAGAAACAAATTGATAGCCAGTTCAGGCCCTGTGTTAATGGGTGTCACGTAGCTATGGTGATACTTGTTTGCCAGCAAGTACACCATTGCATTTTGCAACAAACAAAATTTCTGAGTAATTTTTAAAGGCAGCCCCATCCAGTAGTCCAGTTGTGGTAATAAGAGCTGCTACTAAGACTTCCCACTCCATGTAGGGTATAACTGGCACAAAACTGAAGAAGTCCCGATCATGCCTTCTACCTATCCATCTAGTAGACTGTGAGTTTAGAACAACCCTTTCAGAGTTATACCTGAAGCTGTTGGAAAGCTCTTCTGACTAAACAGTTGCTCAGTTTTCCTAGGATTTAACTTCAGGCTGTTTGATTCCTGAACCTCCAGTCAGAAGTTGAGGTATACAGCTGGAGAGGTGGAGATGTAGACTAAAAGCCATTTAAATAATCTGCTTCCTCTAAGGTGTTTGTTAACTGATACCTCACCATCTTCTCTATAACTTTCCTCAAAAAGGGAAGGTTGAAGACCAGGCAATAGTTGTCTGAAAGAGCTGGGCTGAAGGAAGCCTCTTGAAAAGGCAGTGTACCACTGCCTCCTTCAAGATGGCTTAGAGGGACTTAGAGACTGATTATTTCTTGGTCCCAGTTAGTGTGCATCCCACACCACACATAAAACTAAGCAAACTGAAGGAGCTAAGAGAAGCAGGGATCAAATCTCACCCGACGGCAGGGTTAGAAAGCACCCTGTCCACTTCATTGGAATCCATTGGCTGAAAGGAGTCCTCGATAACATTACAAGACATTATCCCAGCCACCATTTCATCATTTTGTCCATGGAAAATCCAGACTGCAATGAATGTGACTTTTATTAGCAAAATGTTGGACTAACAAGACATAGAAACCAGGTGGCAACTCTTCCTGCTCATCTTTCCCCTAGCAAGAATTGACATTCGCCTAAAGTAAGATTAGCAACACAGGATTGATGCTTCCTTGCTCTTACTGCTATTGTGTAGGCTTGAACATAAGCTCATGCCCCTACGCAGTCAGATTCACATTTCATTTTCCTCCATTAGCATTCCAGGCATAGTTAGTGCTGCTTCATCTCCTAGACTTTCCAAAGAGCTCCCTAGAATTGGCTAAATGGGAAGGGGCCACTTGGGAGCATATTAAGTGTTAAAGTTGCCTCCTGAATCCAAAAGTCTATGGGGTACTCTTAAGATCACTAAGAAGATTCCCAAATGCCCACTGGAATCCACCTGAATCCATTAGGCTGCTGAGACAGATCTTGCAGAGGTCCTGGGCAATCATGAATCTTATCTGGACCAGATAGTTGATCTAATTATGATAAAAAAAAACTTCAATTGAATGCCCACCACCTCATTAACTACTCTGAGAAAACAACCCAGGTATACCTGTATGTGTATGAACTGATTTATGTGGGACATGTCTATGGTTGTCCTGGAACTTCTGAGCCTTCTTTGAAGCTCTTCTCAAGATGTGGTAATTTCCAAACTAGTTTTATAATAGGTTTTAAAAAGCATCCTATTCAGCAGCACAGCAGTCGGAACATTTAACAGGACCCCCAACCTATATGTTGCCCATACACGTAGGCACCCATGCCCTGTTTCCCAAGAACTGAAACCTTGGCCACAGACAAGATGTCTCTCATAATCAATACAACCCCACCCAGTCCTGGAGCTGGTTGCTGAAATACTCAAAATTAGAGTATTTAGGGGAATTTCAGGATGACATCAGTACTCTTCCCCCACAAGGCTTTGATAATGCATGCCAGATCCACTTGGATATCCGGTATCAAAGTGTGGATGAACATGATTTAATTACAAGTAGGTCTGGCATCTATCATTAGTAACTCAAGGCCAAGATCACTAGCAGTTTTACTTCTTAGATTTTGGATTGAGGTGTTTGGGCTAGAAGTGGGGACCAGCACACCAAATTTTTGTTCCTCCTTCTCCTACAGTAACTTGCCTAGTTCTTCACACCATGTCTCCCTCAATCCATTTCTTCTTCTTCTTATATTTATATTTTCCGGATAAGTATTTTGTTGTGCATGACTCCTCTTAATACGATTGCACGAATACTTGTGCCTCCTGATTTCATTTTTCCCGATTTCATTTTTTACAATCTCCTCTCCATAAACCTAAAACTCAGACTATGTTTCGGACTTCAATGAAACAGATACTAATTCATGAAAACTATTAATAATTCTATGGTAAAAAACTTCAGCTGTTTGGAAAGTGAAAGCAATATTTTTTTAAATAAGTCTTTCTTCACTGCCGGTATGTCACAAGTTCTGTGCAGAGAGCATGCAAATTAATTCAGCATCACACAACTCAACTTGATGAACCACAGCTTTCACTTTTTAAAAAGCAAAAGGATCCCAAATGTACTTAGTCCTTGTGAAGGGTGAGATTCACTCCTGTCTACAGAAATCTCTCTTGCAAGGAGTTAAGATAAAGTGTTTTAAAGCCATGCACAGTTTTGGGGACTGTAGCAGGAGAACAAATAATCAACACGTACAAAGCTATTGCAATATAAGCCATCACATTGTCTTATTCTTAGTAGTGACAGTGGCTTTCCTTTGTGCAGGTTTGGGAGAGCAGGAATGGTCAGGCTTCTATAGTGTGCTTCCCTGTTCCAATGTGTTTGCATTATTATTATTTTTTATTCCAGGGCTTTGTATACCTATGAAGAAGACTCTGATAATCTGAAACTGGCAGCCTCAGGAAGTGAGTATTGGCATCAAATGCTACTTTATCTTTAATCCGAGTGGCTTTTGTCTCCACAAAGGGATCTGCTCCTCCCTTCCATAGAGCGTAGTTGCATGGATAGGGGGCTGAATTTGGGAGTGAGTTGCTCCTGACTTGTGACAAGGATCTCCCCAGATGGCTGAGAAAAAACATATTTCATTTGATAAAGTGTATCTATCATAAGCTGAAAAGCAGAAGGTTTTGACTGTTGCTTTGTCCCATGAGTGTGTTGCTTTCTCTCCCCAGCTGGTGGCCTGCAAGAGCTGTCTAGCCATTTTGAGAACCAGAAGGTGATGTACGGATTCTGCAGTGTCAAAGATCCACAGGCCACCCTGCCTAAATATGTCCTGGTTAATTGGGTAAGCCCTAAAAAAAACAACCCCTCTCTGGGGAATAGCTCATTCTCGTTTCCTGATGTTTCATTTATATTCATGATGTAAAATTCACTACCTTAGGAGGACAAATTATGCTGTATTTAAAATATATACCAACCAGATACTCTTCCTTCTCCCTCCTCCCTCCCTTGTTTGATAGAACACTCAAGTAGTCCTATCTGGATTGATAGGTAAGGCTGAGTGGCCTGTTCCTTGCTCTCACCATCTTTGTTTAAAATGATTTGTAAACACATTAACATATCTGGTTTGGGTAGAATTGTGTGTGCACATACATTCTTCCAAGCGGCTGAGAGAAAGAGGCCCCTTCATAACCCTTACTCAAACACGATCTGAATCAAGCAGTTACATGTTTCCCTCATGGTAAAAAAAAAAAAAAATTGGACAAGGACACAATCATTTAAAGCTAAACATACTGTGCGGTTTGGTCCTGAGTAGACTTAGCTATCTTTCAAGAATTGGACAGGAGAACTTCCAAGTGATTATTCCATTTTTCCTCCCCCCCCCCCTCTTCCTGTTCTTATACCACAGGAGTCCTCTGGGCTTAAGATTTAAGTAGAATGTAGGTACAAAGTGGCCCTCTAATATCGTGAAATTGATCCTCCTGATGAAGGTTGGTGTCTCTCCCAACTTTTGGACCAGTCATACATGCCTGTTTTTCAACACAAGGTGATCTCTTTGTAAGAACATCTGTGCTTTCTCCTATTCAAGAAAACGCCCAAGATGGCTCTGAGGAATACACTGAAGGAAAAGCCAGTACTTTGAGCAGACATATTGTTGGCTTCCATTGACCACAGTAGATTGTACAGTATTGCCCTCTAATGGAATTATTGTGGTAATAAACAGCATAAGTTTATACTGCCTGCCTCACCCTCCAGAAATTGCCCATTCTCACATTACAATACTGTCTTTCCTCCCTTCATCACTCCCTAGTTTTTAAACCACATTTTCAGCATTTAACTCAGACCTCTGCTAATGGAAATGTTTAAATACAACATTCTTTAGGGAGAAAATAGCTTGCAGATTTTTTAAAGTAAGTGAATTCTCAGTAGGAATATAGTTGGCAATTAAAAAGAAGGCAGTGCTGTTTTCCAGTTATTCAGGAGAGGCCTAGGAATTCTGTACACCAATTTCCTGCTGCTGTGTCCACACTCTCAAGGATTACTTCCCCCAGATTATTACCCTCCAGATGTGTTGGATTATAACAATAATTACCACCAGCCCAAAATAGCTATAGCTATGCTGCTTGGAAATGATGGGAGTTATATGGAATATATTTGAGGATGCCAGTCTGGAGAAAACTGTTTGAGGAATATACTTAAAGGATATCCTTTGGTGTTTTGCTGTAATTGAAATGGCAAAGAAACAGCTGAGTGTATTTGTGAAGTGCAACCATGCCTGTTTGGCTGCCTGGGGGGTGATGGCATTTTCCTGGATATCACATGGTTGGATACTGCTGAGCAGCAGACCCTCCTGTAAATGCCTTGCTTTGAGATTAAGAGCTGTTACTGAGCTGCAAATCGTTATCTTAATTTAGAAAGTGAAAAGGGGGTGAACAACATCCCCTAGGAAGGGCTTGTCCACTTCTCCACTATGAGAGGATTCAATACAAAGCAATAGAAGCTATGTTGACTCTGTGAGTTCCAGCTTCCTTTTTCCAGATGTTGTTGCTACGAGAGTCCCCATGGCGACCCACCTCCTATTTGTGCTAGTAGGCACATCTGGAACTTCAAAGTGGGAGACTCACACAAAATGGCTCTCATGATGGTCATGGGAGGGGGGCAGTCAGAACTGGTGAGATTGTTCGTCCTTATTCCTCTCACTTCTCTGTTTATCCTTTTTCCCTGGGTGTGCAAACATTTCACACAATGCTTTAGATTGCAGCCATCCATTTTTTACATTCCTCCCCCCCCCCCTAAGAATGTCTCTAGAGTTTGTCTATGGAAGATTCTTGGTCATCCAGGTCATGGTTGTCCCAAAGGTGCTTTTTTCAAAAGGCAACTGGACTTTCTGGTTTTTCTTTGAAGATGTTTCGCTTCTCATCCAAGAAGCTTCTGTTAGAACCGAAGAAGCTTTTTAATGAGAAGCGAAAGGTCTTTAAGGAAAAACAAAGTCCAGTTGCCTTTTGAAAAAGCACCTTTGGGTCTCTTTGTGACCTGGAAATATCCTTAGAAATGTTATGTATGATGCTTTGCTTTGCTTCCTGTTTAATGGAAATTATATTTACTAAAGATCAGGGCAATAGGATGACATCAAATGAAGGGAACACCCTGGCATCCATGGAATTTAAGATAGAGGAGCATTGCTTTTCTACATTGCTAACAGAATGATATGGCTTTTGTCTAAAGTATCACATCTCTTGTTGCTGGCCCAAATGTATGCCTGGAATACCTTTCATTTCTGAAACCTAAGGCACTCTCCTGGTTTTCTTCTGGTCTGGTGCCATCTTTGTTTCTGTTAATTATTCTGGAGACCCTGTGTGTGCTTGAGGAACATGCCTGCTATTTTCAGTGCACTGAATGACCTTTGTCAGCTTTAATCTTTCCTATCGTTCTTCCCTTTCATTCTTGGCAGGTTGGAGAGGATGTAGCTGATGCCCGCAAGTGTGCCTGTGCTAGCCACGTGGCCAAAATTGCAGAGTTCTTCCAGGTAAGTGAGAAATTATGTGAATGGAACATGCAGGTGGAAATGAAAGGCAGAGTAGGCTAATGGTCAAGAGCTGGACTGGGGAGAACCATATGGATACTATTGGTCTGGTCACTCTCTCTCTCTCTCTCTCAGCCTATCTCGCCGCATTGTTGCTGTGAGAATAAAATTAGGAGATAATCTCCTATAAGCTGCTCTGAGCTCTTAGAGAGAAAAGATGGGATGTAAATAGAATAAATCAATAATTAAACTTCTGTTGTATCCAAAATGTGGAGATAACAGCTGTTTATGTACAGTGTGATGATATTTGGGCTCCATGAAAGCATATTTACCCTATAAAGGATAGTGCAGGGCATCCTATTGCTCTAGAAATACATGTAACTTGTATCTTAATTTCAGCCTTTAAAAAATGTCTTTTCCACTGTCTCTTATGAGGCAGGTTGTTGGTTGCAGAGAAAAAAAAGTGATACAAGCAGAATGCAAGAAAAATAAGGATGCCAGGAAGGAAAATGTTGTAATGACGAGGCAGTCGAGGTGTTTGATCATGATCAACTGAATCATGATGATCTTTATTGGAGTCTAGTCCTGCATTTATACACATTTTTAGTTATCCTCCAACATTGGTTAACTTTGGTTACTGCTTAACTTTGGTTACTGTTTAGCATAATAGTAATTAACACAATTAATTATCTCTAGTTAAAGTCTAACATATGTTTACTTCCTCTCTCTAATCCTCCTTTAGATTAGTGACTTTGTTTGCCTGAGTTGTATTTGCTTGGAAACATTCTTTATCTGAGGTTTGCCATCCGAGATAGGAACATTCCTGCAATTACAACTCTACAGGAAAAAAAAGAGGGAAATTAAAGAATGAATTATTTAGGTAAAGTCCCAATCACAGCTTGCTTCAATCCTAGTCTATCACGCACTCCCCAGCAGATATCTCAATACATAAGTAGTAATAATAAGACTAAGAAGGATAAGTAATAAATAATAATGTAAATATGGTCTTTCCCTAAAATGTGATGATAACAAACTGTTCGAAAGTGGGCCCAGTTCCACATGGTGACTCTGGGGTGGCCATGAAAAAAAAACACTGATCCTGAATACTTTTGTGTGATTTTAATGCCTCCTCTGACAGGGTGTGGATGTAATTGTCAACGCTAGCAGTGTGGAAGACATAGACCCGGGAGCTATTGGCCAGAGACTCTCCAATGGCTTGGCACGTATTGCCAGCCCAGTGCTGCACCGCCTTCGCCTGCGTGAGAATGAGAATGCCCAACCTGTGGTAATGCTTCTTCTACACTCTTCACTCAGCCAATCTCATATTAGTCTTGTTTTGCTTTTGGGATAGGAACAGAAGCAACAGGACCCCAACTTATTTCAGGGTCTCAAGGACAAAGCACTTCATTTTTAAGAGTGACAATACAGAAGAACAACAGTTCTTGGGGTTTATCTGTTGTTATATGTTCCTTCAGAGGAAGTTATATATTTGGAGAAATGTCTAGGCAGTTATTCCCATGCAGTTATGATCATGCACAAGGAAAGAAGTCATTCCATTCGGCTGACATGCACTCTAGTAAGAACAGGTGGTTGCTTTTTAAGGGGGATAGCAAACCTAGAATACAAACACATATGTTCCAATGAGCCTTATCTGACCGATTTCTCAATTGTAGGGCACGGTCTATCAGAAGACGGATGCAGCTGTGGAGATGAAACGCCTCAACCGGGAGCAGTTCTGGGAGCAGGCTAAGGTAGGTCATCCTTCTACCTCAGGGGTGTCAAATTCAATTTCATTGAGGGCCACATCAGGGCTGTGATTGACCTCGGTGGGGAGGGCTGGGTGGGTGTGGCTGACTGGATGGGTGTGGCTGCTTGAAGCCACTCCCCAAACTGCTGGCATGTTTCCTGTTTGCCTTGGCCGAAGCCACACTAGCCTGATGTTTCCTCTTCACATTGGGTAGACTAGGCCAAAGCCATGTGGGCCAGCCTCTTATTCCACGACGGCCCTGTAGGCCGGATCCGACCACATCATGGCCCGCATTCGGCCCACGGGCCTTGTGTTTGACACCCCTGTTCTACATAGGTCAGGCTGAGGCACACATATGTGTGGGTGCCAATATGCTCATCGACCTGCACAAAACACACGGTCAATCCTGGCGTCCTTTGATCACCTCTACCGTGTGATGGGAGGCCTGTTATGAGTAGAGTTGGCATTGACCTTCCCTGTTTCCTACTTTGCAGAAAGAGGAAGAGCTACGCAAAGAAGAAGAGCGTAAGAAAGCCCTGGATGAGCGGCTGCGTTTTGAGCAAGAGCGCATGGAGCAGGAGAGGCAGGAGCAAGAGGAGCGTGAGAAGCGCTACCGGGAGCGTGAAGAGCAGATCGAGGAGCATAGGCAAGGGAGGGACTAGAAGGAGGAGGGCGGGGGTGCTGATAAGTAGTAATAGTGAGTGGGAGAAGCAATAAATAGCCAAATCTATTGCATTCTCCAACTGGGATAAAAGCTGCTTCCTCCTACAGACGGTGGCATTTATGAGCAGCTGTAATATTGTCCTTTATTCTTTGACATGTTAGGTTTAGAATTTTATATACTCCTGTTGTTATTATTTTTGCCAATCGTGGTTATGTCATGTTTTTCATGGTCCGACTGATTTTCTTTGAGAAGAGATTGCTGGTCTCCTAGGGTGAAGTTATAGCTCTACCTCTCTTTGGGAGGCGTCATTGATGTGATGTAGAAATACAAGGATGTTTCTTTGACACGTTTTCATATTTAGAAGTAAAAATTGTCTTGTCTCATTGCTTGCCCAGTTGCTTTTCCTTCTGTTTGGCTTGTCCTCGGTGTGTCCAAGTTGTGTCTCAATGTTCTGCCTACATCGCCCTAATTTTAATGAGCCTGCTGCAGCTTACATGATTCTACATGTCCTGGGAAAAGGCCATTCAAGGGTACAGGCTAGGTTCTGGCAACGGAAAGACCCAGGTTCAAGTGCTGCTGCCCATCAAAAAGAGGGTTTGAATAGCTTACAAAAACTTGCTTCATTTTCTAACTGATTAGCTTTTTGCCGTGTGTGTATTTAATTGTCGAGTAAGCTATAACTTGTTTTATTTATATTATAATAATAAAAAAACAACATTTCAAGGAATTTATTCTCCCAGCATGCCTGTGGGTTGATTAGACTGCCTTGATTAGACTGTGGGTTTACGGTGACTGCCTGTAGGCCTCCCAATTGGTTTTAGAAAGGGGGGATGTTAGCCTCCTCAGTCCACACATAATTTTTCTGACTGTGCTTTACGGCACTCTTTGGTCTCTTGGAAACATATGACAACTAGAAACAGTAGCTCCCCCCCCCCCCCCCCCGATTTTACCCTGCAGTGAGCACTTACAGAAATCTGCACTCAAGCATAATCTGACTCTTTATTTTTAAATGGGAAGCCCAAAAGCCTAACTGGTGGCTTGATTGATTGAGCAGCTCTAAGGTGCATCAGGGAATTTCCCCACTAGAATCAAAATTGTCCGGCAGTCCCATTGTCTTTAGAGGGTCTGCTGAGGGACCCCCTCCTCTATTGATCTGTGAGTGACATCCTCAGTGGGAGACAAGATGTCACAGAATGCTCTCACCCTGAAACTACATGTGGCCCCAACTCTTCTTATAGTTCATTCACAAAGTAATATTATTCCAACTGATTTCGGACCTGGGTTGACGTGGGTGCCTGTACTGGTTTTTAATTGCCTTGTATGTTTATATAATTGTTTTTGTTTTGCCATTCCCTGCTCAAGGTCCATTAGGATTGGGGCAGGCTTAAATATAGAGAGGCAGACCGCCACAGAGACAGATAAAATGCTACTTATACAGTAGTTTGTGGTAGCTCTGCAGGGTTACCCTAGCAATCAGGTTGATTGAAGAAAAAACTTTTCCACTTGTTACGAGCTATCTGTGGGCCTATTCCTTTCATATGCTTAAATGGGCCAGTTGGAAGAATATGGTTTGTTGCAAGAACAATCTGCGGTTAATTGACTCCAGTTAGCAAAACCTCAAGAGATTCCATTCAGCTCAAAACCTACCCCCATATGGACACGTTACAGCTGTTTTGGAAGATTATCAAAACCCTATCTTTTGCAGGGGGGGGGGGGAATTGCTGAAGAGAAAGAATGGATACAAAAGCATAACAGGAAGTTCTCATTTAGTGACTGCCTTGGATGGAACCTGTTCACGGTTAAGATAGCAATAAAGTAACTTTGCAACCAATCCTCACATTTATGATCTCCACAGATCTGCAAAGCAAAGTAAAGCTGTAGTAAGATTGTAAGCATAGTCATGGTTTTACTTAGTGACCACTTCACTTAACAACAGAGTTGCCAGTTCCAAATGTGGTCACTAAATGAGGACTACTTATATAGAACTCATTGCTAAACCCTGCCAGCAGAAAACATACCTTCCCAACAGGGATGAGCTATTAGACTCAACTTGCATAGGTTGTTAGATAACTGATCAATGAAGAGGCTAGTGATCTCAAGAAATATTTCCAGTTTTCTTCTTGAGCAGTGTTTCTCAGCCTTGACAACTTTAAGATGGGTGGACCAATTCTTGCAAAGAATTGTGGCTGGGAAATTCTGGAAGTTGAAATCCACATTTTTAAAAAGTTGTTAAGCTAGCAATGCCACTTCACAGTGCTTTGCGGCCCTCTCTAAGTGGTTTACAGAATCAGCCTATTGCCCCCAACAATCTGGGCTCTCATTTTACCGACCTCAGAAGGATGGAAGGTTGAATTGACCTTGAGCCTGGTGAGAATTGAACCCCTGGCACTCAGCAGAATTAGCTTGCAATACTACATTCTAACCACTGTACCACCACGGGACGCGGTGATTGTGAAACATTGTTCTAATTAAGATACCTAAATAAGGTATGACTTTACAAAATTATATCTGAATGTTTATCAAGCTGGCTGAGCTAATTTGAGTTAGGGGAGAGGTTCTATCATTTGGCTTATTCTTTATATGAGAAGTGTCTTTTTTTATTATGCTAGCAGTCATTATTTACAAAGATGATTCATGCAGTGCTTCTGTTTGCCGTTGATTCCTATGTTTAAGGTAGCCTCTCTGTCAACAAATGAGAGAGAAGGAATGTTAAAAAGAGATCACTTTTGCACCTTCTGCTTAATTTTTGCAGTGGGAGGCAGACAACAGGAACCGTCTACCAAAAAACCCTATAGGGGTTTGTGGTTTTGAATATAGTTACCTAAGAAATTATACACATTCCATAACTTCCCAGAATTAAAAGAGACCATTTTTTGCCTCTCTTTAGAGCAGGGGTCTCCAACCTTGGCAACTTTAAGACTTGTGGACTTCAACTCCCAGAG